TGTTTTGGCTTTTTAAAAATTTTTTAAGAAAGGGGGGGGGGGGTGACAAACGTAGGGTACATTCCACTTCCTCTTTTTATATCATAACAAGAATCAATTAGGGGATAACCTATACGGGGAATATATATTACTATTGCCACCCCCACGGGCGCTTGGAACCTTGCTTCCGCCTCAGCTTTCCATGTCCTATGCCAGGTCAGTGTTGGCTTTACATCATGGCCGCCCATCATTTCCTGGATGTCACATTTAGATCTCATCTGATTTGTATATCCAGAGGAGCGCTGGGCTGAGATGCATATACAAGCTGGTAGGATATAACCCCGGCATAGGTTTATGGATCATCTCCCGACAACTGTATCTTGTATGGGATGCAAAACCTCTGCTTGTGGACAGAAGAACTGAGCAGAGTTCTATGTACAAGAACAATGTATTACAATGTTATTATACACCATGTAGGGGCCACATTCCCAGAACTCCCATCATTGCACGGGTCTCATTTTTTTTGTCCTATGCTCAGGATGCACTCGCCCCCTAGTGGTGTGTGCGGATATAACTCTGCTTGTGGACAGCAGTATTGAGCAGAGTTCTATGTGCAACAGACATTATTAATACATACCAAGTAGGTGCTACTGTCCTAGGGTTCCACTGTGGACCCCCAAACTCTCACATTCAAACAAGTGCCTAGCATACCAATTTGTGCTGCTTTAAAAATGTGTTCACCTGACCTTCCTTAATGTACAAGTGTGATGAGACCATGTGGGGCTGATGTGTAAAGTGTATTCCCAGCGAATGGCTGGGTGAGTGCCGTTCACAGGTCATTATGGCCACTAGATGGCACTGAGGAGCATTTCAATTTCCTGTGCTCCTCGGCTCCATCTAGTGGCAGTGACACCCTGTGCATGGTGTTCAACCAGCTATACGCTGGGCCAACGCTTCATAGATCAGCCCCTATACCAGGGGTAGCCAAACTGTGGCCCTTCAGCGGTGGGTGAAACTACAAATACTATTATGCATTTGCCTCGGTAGGCCTCGCCTGTGGCTGTCAGAGTCTTGCAATGCCTAATGGGACTTGTAGTTTCATCACAGCTGGAGGGCCGCAGTTTGGCTACCCCTGCCCTATGCCATATCATGATGCATCGGTCAGATTTGTGCAGCCGTTACATGTGTAATGTGGTTCACTGCTGTTCTCTGATTGGGTACCATAGGATGGTAGAAAATAGTTCTTATGCCTTGTATTGCATGATCAGAATGATTTGGTCATCTCACCATCATTTTAACATATCACCATGTAGGTTGGGCATAAGCTATTGTTTTATCGCTGCCTTGATTTTCTCTTGTGCTCCCATAATCCCCTTCTTCCTTAGGTCCCGGTCTTCTTGTCCTATACACCTAGAACAACAGCTCCCACAGTGCCACTATCCAGGGCTTGTAGAAGCCATCTCTCCCTCTACATTTTGTTGTGGTCACTCTCAACTCCTATAATGATACCCCAAGTTTCTCCAGGACTAAAAGGCCTTTCTTGGGGGTAGAAACAACTAGCAGAGTCATTCACCCTGCGAAGCTCTTGTCAAAGTTCACTCTGTGCGAATGGATACAAAAAGAGAAAGCTTGTATATTGTCTTTTCAGGTTGAACTGTAATACAGATTATGGCCATTAGGTGGAGCTGAGGAGCACAGGAAAGAAGTATGCTCGTCAGCTCCATCTAGTGGCCATAGTGATGTATTACATTACATTACAATCCTTACATCAAATTACATTACAATCCTTACATTACATTACATTACATTACAATCCTAACATCACATTACATTACAATCCTTACATTACATTACATTACAATCCTTACATTACATTACATTTGATCTGATAAGAAAATCTATTAGAAACTTTCATTTTTGCCTCTGTGTGCACAGAACGAACACTCATGAAGATTTACAGAGTGAATGGCTCTGTGAATTGCTTATAAGTAGACCCCTTCATCTTGGGCTTACGTGGTCCCATTGTTGCATTCTCTCCTACGCTCAGGATGCCCTTGCCCCCTAGTGGTGTGTGCGGATATATAAAACGCAACATAAAAGGCTAACAATGTCTAACCACAACCATACTGACCTATGTAATGGTTTCATTAACCCTCTAACAGCTCCGCACAGAAGGTATGTTATCACGAAGAGTGTGTTAGCGAGGAGACAGCTGCGCACCATTAACCTCCATACAAAATATGACATTGACTATAAATAAAAGCAAGCAGCTAACCTGCTGATAACACGGAGCTACTGGCGTGACCCCGGAGCCGTTCTGTGTCATGGTAAAGGGCTGTCAGGATCCGTCACGGCTAATAAAGATTTGTTGTATAGAAAGAAATGTTAATATTATTATTATTATTATGTAGTAGGAATAAAAGTAACCCCAGAGGTGATAAAAACCAACCTGATGTGCTGTGCTCATTTCTTAAATTTTCAAGGTTAGGACTGAAAAGCAATGCTCTGCAGAATATATCAATATGTATCTGTCAGGGGGGAGATGGGAGGGAGCAATGTTCTGCAGATCTCTAGAGGGGTCAGTGGTGGAATAATCTGCAGAATATATCAATATGTATCTGTCAGGGGGGAGATGGGACGAAGCGATGTTCTGCAGATCTCTAGAGGGGTCAGTGGTGGAATAATCTGCAGAATATATCAATATGTATCTGTCAGGGAGGAGATAGGACGGAGCAATGTTCTGCAGATCTCTAGAGGGGTCAGCGATGGAATAATCTGCAGAATATAACAATATGTATCTGTCAGGAGGGAGATGGGATGGAGCAATGTTCTGCAGATCTCTAGAGAGGTCAGTGATGGAATAATCTGCAGAATATAACAATATGTATCTGTCAGGGGGGAGATGGGACGGAGCAATGTTCTGCAGATCTCTAGAGAGGTCAGTGATGGAATAATCTGCAGAATATATCAATATGTATCTGTCAGGAGGGAGATGGGAGGGAGCAATGTTCTGCAGATCTTTAGAAAGTGTGACGTTCTGCAGACTGACAAGCCGGTTACAATAAAACACACACACGGGTGATAAAGTTAATACACATTTATTGTAATAAGACGATTCCTCATAGACAATACCAGGGACAGGAAGTGATAGAAGGAAACCTGATGAGGGTCTCCATGCTGGGAACTAATCCCGGGCTCTGGTTGGCTGGGCCACGTAGGGCTTGGAGGACTCCACTGTCCCGTCTGGAGGTTCCACTATTTGCAACTTCCTGTCCTCATAAAGGATGAAGCTTTCCAAGCGCACAGAATATAATGACTATAATACTGAAGACGATAGAAGATCTGGGGTGAACTCTGGGTGAATTTGGGGTGAACTCTGGGTGAATTTGGGGTGAATGTGGCTCACGTACAAGCAGGAAAATGCGGAGGAATAAAGACATAAAGATAATTGTTTCCTATATTACATGGAAGGTATTTTCTGTCCTTATACAACCTTTGACTTCCCAGCCGTTGCAAGTAAGAGGCTGGCAGGGCATGCTGGGACTTCTAGTTCTCATACAAGGCTAGTCTAGAGAACTGCTATCCTCCTGGTCCTTGGCGAACGGCCTACTCCACCAGTACTGTCCCGCCCACTGCTGCTTAAAGGGACCCGTCAACGTATAGAAATATAACGTTTATGTCCATCGTAAGTCTGAGGGACTTGAACAATTCTCAATCTCATCTACAAAATGCTAAAGTGCTTGTGGCCCTTAAGGGCCCATTTTTAAACTTTTAACCCT